GTGTTATTTGGCCTGAAGATGCACCTCAGTGTTCTACTCAGGACTTTAGAATGTGTCACAACTTTTCAATCTACCGTAACAGAATCCCCCCCCCTCTTGAATGTACAGTTGTTTGCATGCTGTACTGCATGTGCACGTGTCTCTGTGTGTGAGAGGGTACGGCGAGCGCTTCCATGTCCTCTTAAGTGCTCCTGAATGTCACATCCTATCTGCGGCCTGTCCCTGAGGCACAAATGGACACTCCATCCACTTGTCAGGTGATTAATCTCCGCTCTGCTCTCTCTCCCTCATCTCCTTTCCATCTCGTATTCACTCTGTACACGCAGCTTTGTCAGCCATTCGGAGGACTGTCATACACACACACACACACACACAGGCGCTTACTGCACTCCCTCTGCCAGTCTCCGCCCAGTGAAGATCAATGAGGAAGATGGATGTATTATTCAGCGTATTCATTTTAGAGGTGGACGGGGCTGCTTGCTTTTGTGTTGGCACTCTGCAGGATTATCAGGATTCCACAGGAGAGAGAGAAAGTACAGGGGAAGGGAAGCGGTTTACACGCAGCGGCCTGCCGGTGGACGGTGCCGAATCACCTCTGGCGGCTCAGCGATGCTCTGGGAAGCTGCGTTTGTTGCGCGAGTGGCCTTCTAGAGGCAGAACATGGTGAGGCTGATGCTTTAGTGCGACCGCCGAGCTCTCGCGCCGCTGAATGCTGATTAGTGATGGGAGGGCGGAGGCAAGCTCACCGCGGATGGCATACCTGCGTACATTACAAGCAATGTAGCAAACTAGGCAGCTCCTGCCTCGCCGCTTGTCCTCCATAGAGGCGAGACATCTGTTGTTAAAGTGGTGGGGTTATTTCTGGCGCAGGGGGTGAGTCTTCTGTCCCTGGCCCTTCTTGGGGTGGCAGAAACCTTCCGTTTTTTTCACAACCCTGCGCTGAAACTTTTAGCCACGGCTTGGAAAGGAAAAGTGAGTTTAATGAGACATGCCCTGCCATCCTCGGCTTGTAAACCCCAATTGAGGGGACAATGAAATTTTATTGGCCTGTCGTGTATAGTGCCCGACTTCCTTAATGTAATTGGAAGCCAAAGAGTCCCTTTCAGACTGTCCCTTTATTAAGCAGCCGGATGGAGGGTTTTTGTAACAGTGTAGTTATTGGTCTCCAACAGGCTTGTTAATATGTGGGCCGTTTCTTTATGATGGCGCCAGGTAGTCCCTGAAGCGCACCATGGCGGATATATACAGTATATTTCCCTTTTATCTCCAAAAAACAATCTTAACTTTATCAGCATTTGCATGCTCTCGGCTGGTTACCATCATTTTAAGATTAATTTGCGTCTTTGGGTGAAATCTGCCAGGTACCGTCTGCATCAACGTGATGTCGAAAATCAAGTCTTTGGACCACAGCAAAGAAAAAGACAAAAAGCGATCTAAAGAGACAATTAAGAATCATCCTTCTGCCTTCTGCCAAGTGAAAACTCTGCGGCTCCAGCTGTTGCTGTGGCTGTATCCGTTATTAGCACACAATTATCTATTTAGGAAGCATCACTGCGAGGACCAGTGCTGCGGCTCATTTTCTACCAAATTAACTTGTGCTCAGAGCCAGCAGAGTGTTGGAAACAGGCCTGTAAAATCATTCTGTATCGTCTGTAAGTAAAAGTGGTAATGATTATGAGCTTGTTTCATCGGGGAGCTGATTAATTGGGACAGCATTATTGAAATGTTGGCCGTTTTCCGTACGGTTGTGCAGCGCTGTGATAGCCTTTTTTAGACTCTCGAGCTGTTTTTAAATGGCAAACAGAAAATGTCATGTGTATGAATCTATTAGTGCTTGCCTATAATTAAGTGGCTGAACACAGCAGAACAAAGCAGCTGGATTTACAGCACGCATGAAAAAAATCTTTATTTTACTCACAAACACATCTTTATGCAAATATTTCTTGTCCAACTTAAATTTAGCGTACTACAACATCGTAAGGTTTTTTATTGTTTAATGAGTGAGGCCGATATACGTGAGCGTGGCCAGGCCTCCCTCTCTAACGCGCTCCGCTTCACCTACATGAGACACCTTCAAGGGGTTGTGGGGAATCGAGAACAGCAGGGTGGGAGGGAGGCCGCACACCGGGTGCCCACAAGGCACGGCAAGATCAAGCAAGGGAGGGAAAGGAGACTTCCCTCATGCATACATGAATTTCATTCCAGCAAGTGAGATGGAGAATAACAGACCCACCACGTTAATGACTTTTCTGTATCTTTCCGTGTGCTGCTGCTGTTTTATATCGCTACTTTGTTTATGATTATTGAGACCTCTTTCTTTATGATTTTTAAGCGGTTGTAACTACCTGTGCCGCCTCTCTTAGTATCTGACACAAATGCTGTCTGAGAAGGTTTGAGATGAGTAGGAATCAGGAATCGGGAAACGTTTATTGCCATAATATGTCAGACATACAAGGAATTTGACTTGGTGGTTGGTGCGTAATAGCAGACAGTACGACAATGGACGACAAGACAACAGGGCACGAGGAGTAAAATAAAATATAATGTTAGGGGTTAGTAGTATAAGGCTATGGGTTAGTTTCAAAATAAAGGAATACAAGTTAAAGTTAAAAATATTTAGAAATTAAAAATAAAGTGCACCAGCAAGTGTCAAAGAAAGTGACCAGTGGAATGACAGTCAGACAGTGGGGGACCGGCTCTGTTGATGAGCCTGACTGCCGCCGGGAAGAAACTGCCAAATGGAAGGGGCACAAACAGTTTTTGTCCGGGGTGCGAGGGGTCGTCTACGATCTTTCTAGCTCGCTTCAGGGTCATAGAAGCGAACAAGTCCTGGAGGGACGGCAGATTGCAGCCGATCACCCTCTCTGCAGAGCGGATGACACGCTGCAGCCTGCCATTGTCCTTGGCTGTGGCTGCAGCGTACCAGACGGTGATGCAAAACACTCGACTAGGTCTCGACTCTTCGCTGTCCTTGCGCCGAAATGGTGGAACGCGCTCTCTGAAGACATCAGGACCGCAGAGAGCCTTCACATCTTCCGCCGCAAACTAAAGACACACCTCTTCAGACTCTACCTCGACTAAAGACTGACAAATTGTAGCACTTAAATTGTACTTGTGACGTCACTCATCTATAGCAAATTGTAAATTCGCTTATTTGAGGAAATTGCACTTTCTTGTTTCTTGTTCTCCTGAGTTTGTACCCTATGGTTGAATGCACTTATTGTACGTCGCTTTGGATAAAAGCGTCAGCTAAATGACATGTAATGTAATGTAATGTAATGATGGAGGAGCAGAGGATGGACTCGATGATGGCCGTGTAGAAGTGCACCACCATCGTCTTTGGCAGGTTGAATTTATTCAGCTGCCTCAGGAAGAACAACCTCTGCTGAGCCTTCTTGGTGATGGAGCTGATGTTCAGCTCCCACTTGAGGTCCTGGGTGATGGAGCCCAGGAAACGGAAGGAATCCACAGTAGTGACGGGGGAGTCACACAGGGTGATGGGGGAGGGTGGGACTCTGTTCCTCCTGAAGTCCACAACCATCTCCACTGTCTTTAGAGCGCTGAGCTCCAGGTTGTTCTGGCTGCACCACGACACCAGATGGTCAGACTCCCACCTGTAGGCGGACTCATCCCCACCGGAGATCAGTCCAATGAGGGTGGTGTCATCAGCAAACTTCAGGAGCTTGATGGACTGGTGACTGGAGGTGCAGCTGTTGGTGTACAGGGAGAAGAGCAGAGGGGAAAGAACGCAGCCTTGGGGGTAACCGGTGCTGATGGTCATAGTTAGCCATTTTTTGTCCAGCTATAGAGAAGTTGTCCCTTAAAATCCTTGAGACGTCCCCGGCAAAAAACATTAATGAGATTTAACTTTGGCACCACGTTACATCAAGCACCATCCATACTATTGGTGATTCTCAGCCTTAGTCTCAAAAACTGAATTAAAGTCTTCCATGTAAGCATGCGAATAATGTTGTTTATTTAGTACTGAAACACAACACTCGTTTGCGGTCGTTGGCTGCGGTCGAGGTGTCCTGGTGCGTGACACTTTGCTCCCTGCAGTTCCCAAGGAGCTGATCTGTAACCCAATGGGAGAGTCACTGTTTATGTTCGCGCTGCGATAATCGAGACGAGAACAACACTCCTGTTCATCAAACACGCGCGAGTAAAGGTCAGACGAACAATCATCATCATTTTCTACCGGCATCCTCATCAAGCACTCGCTCTGCCTTCCTGCCAAACACCCAGATCAAGCTAATTAAATCTTCTGTCAGGCTTTCATCCTCCCTCTATCTGCATCCGTCACGTCGGGAACGTGCACAACAACACGTGTTTTGGGGGCTGCAATTCCCTTGTGTGCGTTAGACGTGTCCCTGCCATCGCCCCCCGCCTGCATGCTAATCACCAACGTAGTCGCTGACTGCGTTTAAAGTGCCGCGCCTTGTTGTGTTTTCGGAAATGCGTCGAGGAGGACGTGTGGCGGCGCTGTTGAAGCTGGAGAGTCAGTTTTATTATGTCATGCAGATCAAGTGGCACCAGAACGACACGCAGGTTGTGGGAACAGACTTACAAATGCTGCACACACACACACACACACACACACACCTCCTAAGTGCTTTAAACTTGAAGCTGCCACTCGTCCAGGAACGCACTCTTTCCCAAGTGTCTTTCTGTAAAAGCAGAGGCCAGTTTAGCACATTGTACCAACGACTTTCTCACAGCCGCAGGATAAAATATCCTTTCTGCTCGTCAGGAAAGTTGGGAATGAATTCCCCGTTTGTATGTGACCTTCCTTAACCTGATGCCCCATTGACCCGAATGCACAACAACCTGCCCAGAAACACAGACTCAAGCGTTATTTGTGTGAGGCTGCATGACAACGGCCTGTAGAAGAAGAATGTGCTTCCTGTCCTGAATGAGTGCAACTATACGAGTGCCAGTCCGTTGCTTTCTGTCAAAGAACGGAGCAGAAATGACGTTTTTGTGTGTTTTTTGTTCCTCAGACCAGCGCGGTGCTCTGCTCCGGAGGCTGCGCCCTGCTGGCCGTCAGCTCCCTGTTGGCCATCATCACCATCTTCCTGCCCAGCGGAGGATGCGAGAGGAGGATCTGCACCCTGGCGGGATACATGCAGATGGCTGCAGGTTGGTACAGATGTGAATGCGCACACAGACAAACAGCAGAAGCTTGCTCCTACCCGATCCAAACTGAGATCCCTCTCAAAAACAGCATTACTATGTCCCTTCTTTTATCTCTGCAACCAACACTGACATCGCTTTCTACTACAGAAAAAAGAAGCTGACTTTGTTGCTCGTCAGTCAGTCAGCCAAACAAAAAAAGGAGGAAGAATAGAAAGCAGCTCGAGGACAGCTGCTGCTAGGCAACCCGTGTCTGCATAGCACTTAAAGGGGTGAACCAGCGAAGGGAAGGGCGAGGATAGATTTAGAGCCTGCTGTTGAAAAGACAATTATGCCTCCTTAACACAGGTCATCCGTTCAGGGTCGCGTGTGACTTATCAAACCGCCGCTCTCACTCAAACAGAGAAGTAGTCTCGTAAACAAAGCACGGTCACGTCAGCGCGGCGGCCTCTAAAGCCCTTAAAGCGGCGCAGCTCGTGTCGCTGCTCGGTACGGATACGGTTACTGTGCGCTCAACGGTTAACATACAACACAAGAAACATTTGTCTTGTATCGGGGAACAGCAGGGTGCAGAATGCAGCATATGTTCAGTAGTAAGGATCCCCGTTAGTGAGCTAAAGTCTGTAAAGTCTGTGGATTTCCTTTGAATCTCACTCAAAGAAAAAAAACCTTTCAGGGATGCAGGTTGAACAGATACACAATGAAAAAATTTACTTTTAACGTCCACTTTTTATATCCATTTCCTCCGACTTTACAACTCATACAACAATCAAGTGTGTTCTCCTTACGTCGGAGCGGCTCGTCCGCGCCTCGTTTGTTGCAGTTTTAAGGACGCTTCATTCTTATTGCGTTGGTTTGTCAACAACGCTCCCGCACGTCGCATCCAACGTAGTCTGCAGAGGTCTCGCTGCATCAATGCTGTGTGACGCTTTTAGTAGTACTTCAGGCTCATAGTACTCTGGTGATAAGATACTTCCGGTCTGCCGTGGTTACAAGTAGCTTTGCTTTCATCGACCATGCCGCCTGGAAGAGATTTCAAATTAAAATGTCCGTTTAAGAGTGCAGTGCCTTTATCCATTTTCGCGGTTAATTTACGCAGCAGTGTTAAGCCCCTCCCAACGCAAAACAAAAAGGAAAGAAATGCCGCTAACGCATGATAAAATCCTTGCCAGCGTTGATGGATTGCCACATTAGCGCATTTCCGCGTTAACGTGCCCAGCCTCAACAGCAGTATTTTGTTTTTGTGTATGTTGAAGGCTTTCAGGCTGTTACCAGCTTAACTTTTCCACAAACAATGATTTGTTGGAATTGAAATCCCTTCATGTGGCAATTAACTAATTGTAATCAGAGGCTGGATTCATCGGGAAGGTTAAATCATTACAGACAGAACGGGGGCTGTCACAGAGAGCGTTAATGGTGCATAAAGTGTCGCTAAACTCTTGTCTCTGTCTGACACCAGAATCAGATCAATGTTCCGTCTCCGGGTCGAAGTCTTGTCTCGGTGTGCAGAGGATTCATAGAGGATGAGGTCAGATTAGACCAGTGTCTGTTTTCCCAACGCTGAGCAGGGGGCGTTGGCGTGTGCGATGTGTGCGTTTGAGAGGGAACAGTGCGGTGACCTGAAACAGGTAGATAGAGAACAATGCTTTTCTTGGAAGTGTGCATCTTGTTAGGGTTGCACAAGAAGTTGTGTGTTTCCCCAGCGAGTGGGAGGAATGAACTGCCGACGAGACGCTTGTCAACCTAGAAGTCTGTTTGGATCCAGATGTTTACTACAATACTGCTTACAGCAGTGTGTATAGTTTGTTACTTTTCTTATGAAGTCCTTACGAGGACAAAAATACAAAGAGATTTTCTAAACAAGTGAGGAAATATTGCCGGGTGTAACTTATATCAAGGTTGAGAATTTTTCTGAAAGACGAGGGTAGAGGTTGTAGTTGAAGTCCCTTTGAAGCAGCGTTTTGAGAGCTTCTTTCTTTCTTTTGCAGAGTATTAAGTGTAAACCAATGAAGTTTCCGATAGGAAGGGAGGGGTGGGTTTATTTGGCCGGGACTGGAATGTTATAAACCGGTAGGATTGCAGAAAGTGAATGTACAGATTAGAGACTATATATATTATGTTATTACAGCTACAAGGCCATAATTCACAACTTGAGTCTGTTGTACTTAAACAAGTGGATGCCACAATTAGCTGTTTAGAAATAAAAGTAAAACACTTTAAAAAAATGATTCTATGAAGATGCAAATATTGATTCATTTCGAAAATGTGTGTGTGTGTGCGCTATCTTTATTTATGTTACAAGTTGAGGTCATATTAACTGCTTGACATTTTGAACATCTTTCCACCATCAGCTTGTAGCTTTAATTAAGACCACATCAAAATGTTGTGGTGAATACCAATATCCTGATGGAATAGAGGAGGACTTTTTAAAGTACTTGAACCAAATTTCTAGACATGCTTGACATCTGCAGATCCCTGTCCGACCAATATATGGTTATTCAGACTGAGGAATGTCAAGGAGTACGCAATCATCATTTACCCTGAAATGCACCTGCAACACTGGCTGCTCCCATTTCTAACAGCATCTGCCACATCTGCTCTTTCACTGCTACTATCACACAGCTAGAAATGCACGAGGCACAACCCAAGAACATCCGTCAGCCCTCTAAGAGGTAGAAGCACACAACCTTACATATCCACAATTCATGTCTTGCGGAGCACACACACACACACACACACACACACTGCCGGCCGAGGGCTGGTTTGAACTAGGAAAACCCTTTTTTGGCGCCCCTTTCCTTTCTTGGCCTCGGGGTCCTGGAGGGAAAGTCCAGAATTAGATGCGAACTTGCTAAACCTTGCTAAGCTCAGCGCTGCATCCAGCGGTTCAGCCGCAAGCATCAATGTTTCATGCCCAGAGAGAGGGGAAGGCAGAACATTTCTGTGTGCCTGGGCGGGGAGCTTTCTCTCCTGTCATGCATATTTCATGGGCCTGTTCTTCTTAGTGGTCAGGTACCATAGGATGGATGGCACTTTGCTCGGTGTGTGTGAGAGTTGTTTGTGTGTGCGCGTGTGCTTAGAGGAGGAACAGACAGTATTTGCATATGAATTTCCACACTTTAGAGGGAAGGGAAATAGATACATGCATTATTGATTTAATGCACATGAATGACATACAATCATTAGTTTTATTAAAATTTCTACAAAAGTGAAAGTAGAAATTTCAGAAGATTCATCCCCGCGACGTGTGCAGAGGAGTCATGGTACGACGTTCACGATGCTTTATCTGTTCAGGGCTGAAGACATGTCACACTCGGCTGAGTGTACAAGCGCTCGCTGCACACACAAGCTAAATCTCAGCGCTCCTCCTGCAGGGTTATTGCCATATTAACATATGGAGATCATTTACATTATATGCTTACATAAAAATGTGCATGGCATTTTATGAGCTGCATTGATTGCCTGTTGTTTTTCTCTTTTTGGTGATGGGACGGCATGGGAGTAGTTTTCTAGTTTAAAAAAGAAAAATGTTTTCCACGAAAACGGCTCTTTGGGAGATACTCGGGTTGAGGACTTGAAAGTGTTTTTTTCTTCTCTGTACAGTTAGAGATGTTTGTGTTGCTTGTGGCTTTTCATTCTTACATGGAGAGATAAAAGGGGAAGAAACAGCACGATGGGCAAACCCCGAGTGAAATCTGCAGCATCTTTTATGCAGCATTTGGCAGCTACTTCTGCTGACGGATTCTTCAAACAATCAATATGTGAACCCAAATTGTACAGGGGTGGTGACGAGGGATGCTTCGTTTGCTCTGCTGCCTGAATGCTTTCAAAATAAGATCCGATTGGAGTCCCTTTATCTGGAGACATCTGTCGGCTGAAGTTGATTTGACCTTGAGTTGGTTGCTCTATTACTTTGGTCCTGACCGAACTGAATTATTGGATAGATTGATGTGGAAGTTCATTAATTTCTCACTCAGGATGCGAATGTTAGCATGCAAACATTGAATGAAGAACAAGGTGAGATGATAAACATGGTAAAGGTGCTGCTTGTTTGACACCAACATCTGGGTACGTTCACTGCGAGCATGTTGGCATGCTGCTATTAACATTGAACTAAAAGCACAACTGTGGTCAAGTACAGCTTTACAGAGCAGCTACCTGTAGACCCTTAGTGTTGTTTTGAAGATAGAAATCTTTTACGTGACTTTTCAAAGCGATAATCGTCCCCCAAAACAGGGGACAGTATTTCCCCCTTCGTTTGATAGCTTAACTTTTACCCCTTAGATTTTATTTTGCGTCCTTTGCAGACGTCCTTTGCGGCTTCAACCCCCATACAGGTAACCACTAATTAAGAGCAGTGTTTGATGTGTGCAGAGGCAGGTTAAATTGCTCATGGGCACTTGGGAAACCGTCCTCCTTCCTTTGATTCATCCGCAGGACTTCATTCAAATCAAAACCGCCCCACCTTCACCGCTCTTGGCACCGACTGAACATGTTCTGCTGTCTCAGCAGGATGAATGAGAGTGATCTGTGGGGGATTGTCGTCATTCGTGGAGTGAGCCTACTTTTGGCCAAACGAGCTTTTCTAATTTACAGCTAAACTCCATCCAACCCCGGCTACCGGTGGACATTTCCCCAGTGGAGCTCCCCGCCCGGTTCAACCGCTGTGAAGCTGTGCCCCCTAATCTGCATCTGCATCAGAATATGTTTTTGCTCCGCAGAAAAGGCAGCGTGTAAATGTGGGCTCCTCACATACACACACTCGCATCCAGTTGCATTGTGCTGATGCCGAGGAAGCCCGGGCTGCTGTGTCAGCGTTCCTCTGGGCAAAGCTGCCATGCAGATCTCCTCCGAAAGGGCGACGATGGAAATAGGAAGTTGCCTTTCATCAAAGCACCTGCCGTGTTATTTCAGTGGCCGCCGGAGCCCACGCGGCACCGGCTTCAGTCTGAGTGAGAGAAGGTTTCCTAGAGAGCAGAAACCACTCAGGTGTTGTTTGACTACCG